TGAACTGTGAAGCAAGTTGCCCCTTCAAATATTATCTCACGGATGAAAACTTCTGGCTAATCATTATTCTTTAATTTCCAAACTCCATGTGCAACAAAACTGATATATCTTATGAAGATGTTGCAGGCATTAGTGAGCTAATGCATGCGAGAAATAAAAGATTTTAATGTTTTGAAGTGCAATAAAAATGAAACAGATTCAATTAATAATAAATAATCAATTATATTTACCTTCCTAAATATACATCAGGATTTCGATCTGTTGGTGAACTCATATCTTTGGAAGAAGATTTGTCTTCGAGTATTGGCCCACTGCTGGTTTCACTATCTGCTTTTTGGCTCAGTGTATCTGAGAACGTATCATCCCTAAACATTAAAAAAAAAACAACTTATTGTTGAGAAATTAGGGTATGTAGCTTTAAAATAAGAAGAGCATGCTCTATTTCAGCCCTGTTTTTTCTATCCCTTTATTTCCATCTAATCTTCTCTTCACTAATAACCGTTTTGCATGGGCATTCACAAGGAGAGGCAATGGGGACAAATGACAAACACTTTCATGGTGATATCATCATGCAAATTCTGTGACTCACATACTTACATCAGAAATCAGTATCCATCATGGCAGTATTTGCATGATGACGTCATTGTGTTTTGTCATTTTACTTTGTAGTTTGCTGTAGTTGCCACTATTATAGTTACTATTTTCAGAGGCATTTGTTAAATGCATAATCAAATGTTGGCCAATATATGGCTACTAAAATCCTCTGGCCAAAGGAATCTCACTTCAGTATTTGGTTTCTGGATACAGACTTCATTTTAAATGTCTCCCTAAATGATTTGATGTATTCAAAATAATACAATCATTTATTAGTTGTTGAGTAAATAAGGTATAACTTCAAATTAGCCTTATAGGAATGCTGATGTTACTAGGCAGGAAACTTGCTTTCTAAGACCCATTAAAATTAAAGATCACAGAACAGGAAATACGCTATCTTATATTTATGAGAGAATAGCCAGGCCTTAACTGCATTTGCAACAGTTTGGCCATAAAGTTTTCTGGTATCTCAGAATATTTTGGAATTTAGAACCTGTAGAACTTCTCCATCAGTGGACAATGCTGGCCAGAAAAGAGTACCTCTGGTATTACAATTCAATTAGCTGTTTCTTACATATCTTGAACCACTATATATTGGTGGGGAACAAGGCCATCAATTCCGTTATGTCTTCCTTCCCACCAGTCATCAGAAGCTCGATGATATAAAAGCAATGAGGCTCCTTTCTTAAAAGAGAGTTCTCGTGCAGATCTTCCAACATAGTCAAACTTGGCTATAGCTTCTATTGGATCACATTCTGTGAAAGACAAACCACAAGACTTTAAAAATAGCTTATAATAGCAAGGGACATGAGTACATAATAAAAATTAGCAAAGCTGAATTAAGAAAGTTATTCTTCAAATACTACATTTTGGGACCCAATAATCTCTGAGGAATAAAGCTAGCTAGCCAGGACTTAAAGACGTCTTTTGATGAAATGCTCTTATACAAATGTATGGTAACATCACCTTAGAATATTGTGCATAGATCACTGTACCTTAAGAAATTCATTACAGAACAGGAAAATAACAAAAAAGCACAATCAAGAAGACTAGAGAACTGGAACATCTACCCTATCAGGAGAGATCAGCCAACTATAGCTCTTTAGATTGGAATGAAGGAACCTAAGAGAAAAGAACATTGAGGTGTACTGTACCAACATACATAATGTGGAGAGAAAGTTGTCTTTCTTCCTCTCTTACGGTATTAGAACTTGGGGTTAATAATTGAAAATAAATGCAGAGAGATTCAGGACTGACAGAAGGAAATACCTTTTTACACATTAAAATTACAAAATTCACTGCAAGCAGTCATGGTAATAGCAATTCGGTATGCTTTAAAAAGGGTCTGAACAGATTCATGGAGGATCAAGCAATAAAGGCTTCTAATACTATGCATGTAAATTACTTCCCAAATCCTAATCAGTATGTCTTCAATACTAGTTCCTGGGAAGCAGAAGTTTAAGTGGGCCATCACTCTCCAGTTCAGGCCTGTGAGTTTCTCCAGTCCAGTTGGCCATAGAATGTTTGCCTACTTAGGCCCATGGCCTGGTCCACCAGGGTTCTTATGTAAGATCTTTCTAAACGTAATACGAAATTTTGTGAAAAGCCCACACAACGCTGTTCTTCAGTAGAAAGTTTCTTTTTCTTTCTTTTTTCCAGAAAAAAATTCTTGGGAACTCTAATAAAGCTAGATGTAAGAAAAAGACTTCCAGATTTGCATATTCTTTTGGTGTTAGCTGCATACACCAAATGAGAAATATCTCTGCCTAAGACTTTGCAATTTTGCCCTCAGGCTTTAGGTTCAGGCCCAAAATCTCTAGAGAAGCCATTTCAGAAATGCCACTAGAACTGTTAAATCTAGCATCAATTTACAATATTTCATGTGATGCAGAATGTCATAATGCCATACAATACAACATAGCTCTTTTGGATAACAATAAAATAACGGTTTCCTCAACTATTTTGTACTTTTCTCCATTTATATGTGTCAATTTAATCCAACATATATAACGTGACAGCATGACATGTGAACAACATCTTTTGCATGAATTCTATTTATCTGTTTTGAGTTTCCTCAGGAAATTCCTTCTGATTTCCTTTGGAAACAGCTATAGTAAATTACTCCATTTGTAAGTGCCTTGTGTTTCAGAGTAAAAGAAAGCAGTTGCATAGTACTATACAATATACAACAACTCTCTATTCCTTTCCCCATATTTCCAGTCTTCAAAACATGATGGGATTGCAAAATTTTCTGGATCAATTGTGCTATTTAAAAGAGAATATTCCACTAAAAAAATTGTGAAACAGCTCCTCCAAATTACCTGTTTTACAAAACTGCATGAATAGAAGCAGGCTTTCCAGGGCTAACAACAACCCGCAGAAGTATTTTAGGATTTGAGTATGAGAAAAATTTAAAATGCATCTCTATGTGCTGTTGTCCTGATCCTGGTTCAGTGTTCCTGGCTTCCACCTGGCTGTTTGCTTGACATATCAATTCTGATATGAAGACCCAAAGCCAGGCAGCACTGTATTGAATAAATTATGCTATTATGAAGAAAATTTGAAGCTGCCCCTCTTCTCAAACACTATGTGTAATTATTTTTATTTAATTTTTAAAAATTGGTTTTAAAGAAAAAATAATCCAGGGATGCTATATGAAATTGTACCAAAAATGCACATTATTTGGTCAAATTAAAGTTCTTGTTAATTTTATTAGGTGCAGCATCTATTTTAATTATGCAGTATCAACAGGATAAATGGTACTGCAGAGAATAATGAAGTAGTTGCAACTGGGGACTGCTTGTTTATGTAGCAGGTATTCCATTGTACACTCATCTCTTTCAGCAAGAGAGAATCCTAGCATTCACATGTTTGTAATAAAATGTCAAGGGTCCTATGGATTCTTAAAGCACTGGCCTTAAAGCAACTGGATTGTGTTATTGCAGCATAAACCTTTATAGGCAAGACCTCATCTTATTAGATGCAAAAAGCCTAAGTGGCTTGTTAGGCATCACCCTAATTTTGGCAAGGAAACTGATCCAGACCTGATGACATCTTGTGGCTTGCCTGGGGAGCTGCTGATACCAGAGTACTTTCACTATCTTTCCTTCTATCTTGCTTCTAGAATTTTTTCATAATATCACAGGTATATGGATGGAGGAGACTCTGTTAATGTTGTCTACTATGAAGTAGAGTAGGAATAAATGGGCAATTACCTCAATGGATGGAGGTAAGAAATTAAATCGGGGTGGGAATTGGTGTTTTTAAAACTTGATCATAAATAATCCTCACTTAAAAGTGAGCAATGAGCAGACCAAGCTTGATTATGGTGGTCAAATCAAAAGAGGATTGTGAAGAGCTCCAGAAGGATCTCTGAAAAACAAGTGAATGATCAAGCAAATGGCAAATGGGGCTTAAAGTAAGTAGGTGTAAAGTGATGCACCTTGAGGAAAAAATCCTAACTTCTCTAATACACTGATGGTGTCTGAACAATATTTAACTAATCAGGAAATCGATCTTAGAGTGATCTACTAAAAATGTCAACTCAGTGTGTGATAGTTGAGAAAAAGGTAAGCTCCATGTTAAAGAACATTGAGAAAGGGAATGATGAGGAAAAGATTTAGAACACGTAAAAGAAAATATTTCTTTATATAGCATATAATTAACTGTATTCATTATTACATGTGGTGATGGCCACTAACTTGAATGCTTTAAAAGGGGATTGGATAAATTCATGAAAAAAATTCATTTCAAGAGCTTTTAGATTTGAAGAATCAATGATATCTCTGAATGGGAGGTAGCATGCTACCATATATAGGTTACAAGGGAATATGGTGGGAGAAGGATATGTCTCCATCCCTTTCTTGTGAGCAAACCAGAGGCATCTGGTGGCTGCTGTGAGAAACAAAATGGTGGACCAAGATGAATCTTGGCCTGATCCGCAGGGTTATTCCAGTGCTGATGCAGCCACCAATAGTTCTGGTTCCTCTCTTGTCAGTGTCATCACATCCTTCTTTAAGTCCTTGCTGTTGGCAAAATAGTGTGCCTGCCTTCTTATCTACAAATTTCAGACAGGTGACTGAAAGAATCAGAGTGCTTTGAGATCCCTGTTTCCAAAGTGTAACAGAACAAGCCTATACCCAAGTCCCATGCACACATGGAGCTGATTCTAGGCTGATCTTCATTATAAGAAAGATGGTGCCTAGAGATCTAGCAGCTTTCTATTGCCCATGAACCTATTAATGCAAGCTGAAAATAAATAATGGTACTGTGCCCTTTATACTGGCAGCAGAAAGTTGTTTTTGCTGCAGAAATTATTAGCACTGACTATGTTAAGCAGTAAAAAAAAAAAAAAAGCAAACAAACAGGTAAGAATATTGTGCCAAAGATTTTTCATTTTTCAACAGACAATGAAAAAATAGCATTTCCTCTGTGAATGGCATACGTATGGAAATCAATACAGACACAAGGTCATGGGAAAGAGCATAAAGGAGTATACCATCGTCACTGGTATGTATTTCTGCCCCAGCATCCAGATCCACTTCTTCTAAGGTACCATGTTCACTATAAGGGCTGTCACTGTAGAGACAGGAGCACATGAATTTATATTTTAGGGCTGGATAGAACTATCATTTAAAATTCCAAGAAGCTGCTATAATAATTATTTCTTCAAATATAACTTAAAATTTCAGTAACACTTGGTTAAGCAGTTTGCCTGCTCTCCATCCCACCTCCCACCTCATGCTAGATACAGAATACACATCCTTAACTCAAACAGAATCTACTTTTTCATGAGAAAGAGTTGCAATTTATAACATAACCACAGAGAGGTAATCCAAGCAACTTCCTCTTTGAAGGAAGGGAAAGAAAATGAGATTTTTTAAAATAAGGCAGAGTTGCATAAGCTGTGAACTAAGCCAGAAACGGGGTTCACGTGGCTTCCCAAAGTCTCTGACAGAGTCTGTATATAACAGGAATTTGGAGCATGTCCAACTAATTGAGATAGATAGGATATCTATTTCAAGGGAATTCTAGTTTTTAACTAATAGGAAACAAGTTTCTACAGGAATCTGGGCTAAGATTAATTCCTTTTACTATGCGGTGTTATGTCTCCTGCATTTCTCCATATAAATTATAGAATTGAGTATTTAAAGCTCAGACACTAACCAGTCAAACTGGGCATGACGATAATAAATGTTATCATTTTGCAATCTTGCAATGATTTCTTGAATGCTCTCCAGACCATTCTTTGCAGTTTCTGGCAAGGAGAGCCAGCCTCTTGCCACAGATCAGCACCATTTGGTGGTTTAGTAATGTGTGAGATTTGCCTTTGGTATCTTTTCCTTCTTTTCAACTGATTTGTAAGTTGTATTGTCACAATCTCATCAGCTCATGTACTAATGTTTGCCTTTTAAGATAAGTTTAAAAAGTTTTCTATTTTTCTTTAATAAAATTTGATTTTATATATCTCTTGTAGATTGGTCAATTTTCCAAAAGGGGGGCAGGAAATAAATCCTTTAGTCACATACTTCTAAGTTACACAGCCTAGAAATTCCATTAATGAAATTATTTCATTTTTTACCATTTTTCCCTTTTAACCATCAGAAAGACAGCATGGATGGTGAGATTTCTATCATTCACCTGGGTTAGGGGAGGATACTAAGTGAGGCATCCTCTGGAAGGTAGGTGGTGGCAGTGGAAAATACCAAAACATTATCCTAAGGCAGAGAGCAGAATCAAGGTATGCAAATCTAGAAAGTTTGTTGGACAAGAGGTTTAAAATCATGCTATCCACACACACTGTTTAAATCATATTTAAAAATCAAGATGTATGATAATATGTAGACCAGGGTATATTTCTCTCTCTCCCTCTTCTTTTTTTCATTTTAGGTGGCTAACAGTCAGTATTCTACTGATATGAACGAGCAAAAGGTAGCATCAGTGGGGTGCTGCTTATGGGTAGCAAGAAGACCTTTTAGTTATATAAAAATATTTGTAAGTGCTTTTTTCACAAGTCTTAGAAAGAGATGACTAGGATAGCAGTGAGGGAGAGAAGAGGAAAATGAGATGTTTAACCGCTTCTACTGTCCATATCCTCACCCCTGACCGTTGCTTTTTCACACTGATATTTTAAAAAAAGGATGGAGTATTTCCAAATATCTGTATATAACATCCAGTTAGGCCTAAATAGTGATACCTTGCAACTTGATTTCAAACACACAGTGAAGGGAAACCACCATACAAAAGAACCAATTTGACACCAAGATTATCAATGGGAGGAAGGCACTGACTGCATTTTAAAGTTAATCAGGCCAAGCCTACTAAGCCAGTCCCCAGTCTAAAATTTCCTCCTAATCCATAGCACAGTCCTGGGCCAATGTGATTTAAAAACCACACTTTTTTTTTCTTGGCTATTATTCACCCCTGAAAAAAATGACAGCCATTTTGTGGATGATCTTCAACCAAATGTGGGTCTTTGGTCCAAGAAAGGATCATGTTCTAAACTAATCTCATGCACCTTTTTTCCAGTATAAAAGAGGCCATGTGGCAAGGCTTTATACCAGGTTTGGTGATTAAACTTTCTTTCCCAAGCCAGCAAAAAAGGTTAGAAAAATAGATTTATTGCAGAGAGTTAGGAAACCATACATAAAAATAAATTCTCTAACCTCACTCCAGAATTCTGCTGTTTATGTATTTTAGTCCTAGGATTTAAATCCTAGGCCTCCCAACTCCTGCATTTCTGAACCACTGGCCGTGCAGCTGCTGCATGTTTTCCAGCCATGAATGTTTCTGCCATCCGCCCCTTGTTTACAAAATGCTTTTCTCTGGCATCAGAATTAGTGACTTCTGCTCCACCAGCTTCAGCCCTTACATCATATTAAAAAGAACTGGTTGAACTGCTGACAAATTCCTACCTATAATTTATCTAGAGCGGCAGGCAAATCGCAGGGCTTTTTGTGGCAGATGGGAGCAAGACTCCACAAGCTCAAGAGCTGCTCACATAAAAATGTGACAGGTTCATTTGGGCAAAAGACTGAAGGACTTACCAGTAGTCATCACCTGCCATGCATTTTTCATATACTGGGCCATCTAGTTCCTTGGTATCTGGGAAAATGATCTCCTGATGAATGATAATGGTTTTGATGATTTCATTTACATGAGCCTGGCATGACACTTGTTCTTGTATATCTGGAATGGGCATCAATGTTGGGCCAAAACAAATGGCCAGGTTATAAGGATCCATCATATTTTCATCACTGTACTGAGAAAGGCTGTTTAAAAAAAAAGAATGAAAGAAAATAATGTTTTTGTGGCCCTCGTTTACTCTTCTGCAGTGAAAATGCATACTTACAACTTTCACTGTACTTGTTCCACCTTTGTTGTTGAATTATACACTGAACTATTAAAAAATAATTTAATTAAAAAATCTTTTTCAGTCTAGTAATGCCATTAAGGTACATCATGATCAATATATGGTAATTTATAGTAACAGGATACTTAGACAATATATCTAAAGCAGATCAACAACTCCCCCCCCCTCAAAACAGACTTGAACCTCAGGTAATCACAATAATATTTATACATCTGAAAGATTTGGAATAGGATATGGAAAGGAAAGAGCTGTTCTCTAACTTGAAGGAAAGTTCACAGGCTCTTGACTTTAATGGACAATGCTTTCAGTTAAGGAAGAAAAACAGTTCAGTCTTGTGGACCACTTTTATGTATTTACTCATCCAAAATGACTCATTTAATTACATATGCTATTTTTTAAAAATATTACCATTCTTTACTCAGTCTATGTAAAGGCCTTTAATCACTCTGTACTCAGAGAATTTCCTTTTGCCTTTGAACCATCCCCAATTTCTCTGAATTCTTTGTCCCAATATCTTTCACAACCACATTGTAGTGTTTTCTCTCTTACCACATTAAAAGCCTAGCAGAATCTTTTTCTGCACTAAAAGAAAATTCCATCTGCGTGTCTGATAGTTCCTTTCTTTTGCTTTCCTTCTGGCTACCTCACTTTTTTGCCTAGGTACCTAAAGTGCACCCCATGCTGCACAGGAAGATCTGTCTCTATAGGATCTCAATTCTTCTGTTTTCTCTTCAGTCATAAGTTAACTGTTCCTTTTTAAAAGTTTCCCTACTTTTCTCTCTACAGTTTCAATTCACAGCTAATTCCCATTTTTATTTCACTTCACTTGGAATTCAACTGTTTCCGAAGACAGTATTCATTCTAACTTTTAGGTGGTAACACTAATTCTTTTTCCAATACCACTTTTCTAATCCCATAGGCCCCTCTATGGTTCTGTTTCTTGGTTCCTTCCTTTTTTCCTTTCTCTGTTCACTATTTCCTTACTCCCTCCAATGTATCCCTCCTAAATATTTGACAGTAGTAATATACTCCAATTTCCTCTTTCATTGAAGATGGATCTGAGCAAATTTTAAGTTCCATAAAGATTTGGGAAACAATCACATTTTATTATAATGCTGAATACATAGAATATAGTTCTGCTGCTCTTCAAATTTTTACAATATGATGTAGCAAATACTAAGTATATACATATATATTAGGGCTGTGCATGCTTCAAAAACAATTTAGCAGTGCTTTGAATTCTGCACAACCATAGTACTTCTTTGCCGCTCATTAAAGCAACTACATCTTTTTCCTAGCTCATGCAGAAGCCTGAGAAAATATGTGGCTGCTTTAATGAACAGCAGAGATATGACTTTTTCATGTAAGATTTGAAGCACTTTTCCAAAGTCATTTTCAAAATGTCATAGCTCTCCTATATATGCTCATACATGAAAATTATAATGGAGTCTTAAAATGAATCTCTTTACATATTGAAAACTTTTTGAAATACGTTGATTGATGCCTGTACCAGACAGGATTCCCAATGTACTCTATAATTAGACTTAAATTGACAGATACAAGCTTCTGAAGGCAACAGCTGAAATGTACTTTATGATCTAATTCTATATTAGCATTGTGGGTGCATACCTTTTGATAAACTGCTATTTTGAAACTTAGACCTGTAATGTCTAAATACACTGCTATTATTTTACAAGTTATTGGTAATCCAAGCATAGAAATACTGCATATACCTCTATGAGTTAGAAAGTTTTTGTCTTAAAAAGTTCACAAATATTGCCCAGGCCTAAATATTCACCATCTTATCTTAAGAGATTGAGATGTCAGCTTATTTATTGTTTAAAGCCTGGATTCCCAAGGTAGTCCTCAAGGGCAACAATACACCCACAACATGTTTCTTGGTGCCTGCCAAACTCCTTGCCTCACCCAATCTTATTTTAACAATATTTTAATTAAAAAGTGAATAGGAAGTTAACAAAGGAAAACCCAAAGATCAAACATAATCTGCCATACCAACAATGCCTCTGGCATTGTAAAGATATGTGTTTGGGTGTGTGCTTGTTTTGAGACTGTGCCCACCTGCCCAGATTAAAAACGAAGTAAACCAGGGTGACAG